AACAAACCGGTGATTTAAGTGGAGAATTCGCTGGAATTAGTCTAGCGCAGCGTGTAATATGTACGGTGTCGATATTTTTGAATTTTTTCGCGACTTTTGAGTTTACTGCGAGTTAAAGTTATGTACTATGGAAGTGGTCTTCAATTTAATTAACGTAAATAAATTTTTTAAATAAACATACGAAGAAAAGATGGAATTAAAAGCAAAAGGTAGGTCATTACCAGATATAATTATAGAAAAAACTGGTGTAAGTAGAGGAAAAAATTACACACGAAAATTTAATAGATATTTATTCAAAAAACGAATGGATCTGTGGATGCAAATAAGATACATGTAACTTATTTTGCTAAATGTGTTAAGTCCGATTCCAAATAGTGTATCTGTCAAAACAAGATAAAGGCCAGAACACTTATTTTTATGAAAGTTTTTGTTGAAATACTTCCAACATTTAGCCCAACCCATTTGTTTTGCCTAGAGCCGTCTCTGGCCTCTTTCAATTGGTCCGAAATCGACAAGGTGATCACGTCACCCTGTCTTTTTACGATACATCTAACCTTCAAAAATCAATGGATGATAACATATGATGCCAGAATAGCCATGGTAAATGATTGATTGGTTAAGCTGTAACGAGTGGGGATGCTAACGCTCGTCTCCATATTGTTTGCACGTTAAAACGACCAGAAGCAATTCTTAAGTCATCGAAACACCAGATTTTCGCATTGCTTGAAAAACCCAAGCCATTTTGTCTTTTTTTTTTTTTATTAAAGTGATTGTTTATTAAACAGTGCTTTCACTGATTCATAATTTCATTTTATACTTTTGAAGAGCGTTTTTTCGAAACTCTAAAAATGTGAGTTATCTTGTTTTTGCAGTAACACTACGGAATATATTTGTTTTGTGGTTTTTTTTATTAGAGGTTCCCACTAACAAATTTTAAATGGGTGGCCTAAATAAAGGGTCATCATCCAAAGATATTTCGGCCCATGTAACATAGCAAACATACGTATGTGGCCCGAAGGAAAAAAAGGTTGAGTATGGTTGGACTTTAACAGCTCTTTCCGTGCTATCTATTGAAAAAAGTTTACTTCCGAAATAGACAATTTTAATGAAAAAGTTATTACAAAATTTGCGAACTGAAAAGAACGTAGGATAGACTTAATTTATAAAAAATAGACTGTAAAATCGCACTATCTGTTTAAATTGTTTTTAAACATTTTGTATTTTGCTTGAAGAAAATAGAGTACAGTAAAATAGTGCTTGGCGATTATTTTTTTTGTGTGACAATCGTTCCAGCAATCCATCATTCAGCAAGTACGATAAAAACGATGCCCCTGAAAGGTAAGTTTTTTGCAAAAATTGCAGAACACCCTAACATTTTTACCACAGGCCGCCACTGGTTTAAAATCATTTTTATATTGGTATAATAAACACTGTTAAATGGGATACAAATATTTAACAATTATATTAACAGAATTGACCATTTTAATTCATCATATCATTTTTTTAAACATTAACTTTTCTTTGGTGGAATGATTTGGCTAAACGAAAAATTATCTAAAGGCCCGTTTACACTTTATCAAGGGAAATACCACAAGTGAGAATTTTTTTGAGAACATTTTGTTTTTTTGGAAATTATTCATCCACATTTCACGAAATAAAATCCTTTAAATACCACGAGACGTCATTCGAGTTTTCGATAAGCGAGAGAAATCATCTAAAGCTCTATTTACATCTTTACCAATACTTGCCATTCATTTTTACTAATAGTTCTTCTTCAAAATCAGGTAAAAATCAAAACGTTTGAAATACTTATTTTTAAAACACTGTCAGAGACAGCTAAACAAGATACATATCGTCGGCTTACTGCTAAAAGTGACCAAGTCAAAAAAAAATCTAATTTTTGTTTTTATCGACCAAATAACTTAAAACTATCTACTCTATATCTCTGGAAAAATTGACTAAGTCACAAAGTAAATTTGGCTGCCTACTATTTAATAAGCCAACTAATGCCCAAGTCAAATTATGTGGTTACGTATCTGCGAAAAGTCCCTTTTTTCTGTAGTTACTAGCTTTTTCGAAAACTGACTATGTCAACTTGGTAACTTTTTTCGGTAATTTATCTTCGAGCATATATTACTAGAGCCAACGTCCAAATGGTCTGTTTCGTTTTACGTACTTGGCATGTCAAATCGTTCGAAATTGTCAGAACTGTCATTTGATTTTCATTAATTTCTAGCTTATTTTTGTAGTTTATAAGTGATTTTTTGTATTTTATCACTTTACTGACACAAATTTTAAAAATGGTGAGTTTGTATACGTTGTAAATAGAAATAAGAAAAGGCATCGTCAAGGGCATTTCACAAGTAAGTAACCATTAGCGTCTCTACCATTTTTATTAGGTATGAGGAATATTGTTATTGATTTTAGACTCTACTGAAAAGTTAAAAAAAATAATCATAATTTTTCAATATAAACAAACTTTTTGTTTTTAAGTCATTTTATCATGATAATGTTGAAGATGTTAAATCAATAATTTTTGTTTTCTGTAGGTTTCCAGTTAATCCTGCCAAAAAAACGCATTTGGTGAAACATATTAAAACTTACTCCAGAAAACATTTCAAATAGTGATGTTTTATGTTTCAATCATTTTTCTGGATAATTATTTATGTCAAAGACTGGATGCGGAGGAAGAACTAGATTAATTCCAGGTGCATTGTAATCAGCATTTACTGAGGCTCCAGAAGAAGATGAATCTAAAAGGTAAAGAACCCTGCACTTTAGTGATGTAAGAATACGTATCCAAAAATCCGTTGAATCCGAATATTAAAAGGATCCGGATATTCCGGAATCAATGTGTAAATTTTTTTATTTACATTTTAACTATGTAAATAAAATCCTTGTTACTGTTACATATTTTAAGGGTAACATGAAGTTGTATAAATATAAATAATATTCAGTTAATGAGAAATTTTGTTTCTGATATTATGATAAAAAAACAAAATATTTGAGATTTATCTTGTGTTTATTATTCTAAAACATTAAAAGCTTCTGTTACTTCACTCTCAAACATAAATTCTGCTAGGGTTGACAACACTGCCCGGTTCCGATTCCCAAGGTCGCGGTGTATTTACGGTTGCGTATTATTATGATTTCACACACGGAATATGGATACGTATCCGGATGATGAATCCGAATATCTCTTGGTTCCGAATACGTATTATCCGAATACTAAAAAGATACGGATATTCACAACACTACTGCACTTTTCTTGTGGGTTAATCGTTCAAAATTTTTAATTTTTCAGTGATGATTTGAACCATGAAGCTTCTGTTGCAGAAAAAGAAAACATGTAAGTAACTAAGTACTTTTTAATACAACATAAATTTTATTTTAAAATAATTACCTATTACTGCCTTTATTTTTTTATAAACCACAAAAATTGACAATAATTATTTGGTATTAAATGTACCTATGTTCTTTAATTAAGTAGACTACTAGTCGTTAAGAAATAAGCAAAACCTAATGTGAATTTTTTCAATAAAAAAGTCATTTTAAGCTTCTTTTATTTGCACTCCTAGTCATTAAGAAATAAACAAAGCTTAAGACAGTTTTCCAATAAAAATGAAGCTTCACTTATTTGTTAACGGCTAGCAGTGCAAATGTACCTAAGTATTAGCTTGATTTCTATTTGTAGTATATCCTTTAGTAATCTATTGAACATTGGTTGAACAATATTTTTATATTTAATAAATTATTGGAAAAAGTTCTTGTATTTTAATTCTCGTACTCGTGTGTTAAGAGATATCATAAATATTTGTATAATATACCTAGTATTTATTTATATTTTTTATTTTTAAATATAAGCTTTTTATCTTTTTTATTGCCTATTATTTCAACCTTCATTTTTTCGTTATACACTTTCTGATGTTCAAAGAAAAAAAAATAATAATAATTTTTATTATTTACTATTACTAGGTACCTACTTAAATAATGCATAATTCAAAGAATTTTGAAGGTATGTATCAAATTTATTATTTATATTAATTACAAACCCCGTAAAAATGATGCGACACTGGTAATAGTGTCCAGGCATTTCTCCTCATAACGTAAACAAACCCTATTGAATGCGGACTCTAGGAAATATATATGCTGGGAGTAATTTATACAAAACTTGTCTTGACCTGAGGCACTTGCGTGAGTGAGTCACTTGTCAATGTTAGACGTCAGATCATTCATAATTCTCTGCCTTCTGCCTGTGATCAATTTCAGACTATTCAGAATCAGAACTTAAGTCGTTGTTGGAGAAGGACGTAATAAAATTGTGTTTAGTGCATATTGTGCAGAATATTAAAAGAGCAAAATGTATATAAGGACAACGTATTGTTTCTTTATGTGCTGCTAAAAGTACAGTAGAAGCTAAAGGTATACCTGTAACTTTAAGGAAGTAAAGTTTAATTTATAAAATGACCAAGTCATATTTTTTATTTTTTTTATTACAAAAATGACCAAGTCATAACTTTTTTTTGGAAATTCTGACATTTCTTAATACAATATTTTTATGAAAAACTTAAAATTTGGTTACAAATAACTTAAGCTAGAAACTAATTTAAAAAAAGTTTGGGTATTTATAACACTAGTTTAATATTTAAAACTGTTTATCTGACTTGTTCAATTTTGGCAGTAAGCCAACGATATATTTAACAATTCTAATTTTACCATTTTCACTTTTGAAACTTTTTTTTTTTGAGAAATGATTGGGCTGAACGAGAAATGATCTAAAAACCAGTTTACACTCACTGTTCCCTTTAAAGTATCAAATTCAAGGCATTCCTCTTAATTTAAAGGGTTTCTCGAATGAATTTCCACCATTTTCGATTTAGTTGATTAGTTTTTGAGCATTTGAGTGACGATTTTTCCTAATCAATGAGAACTATTTCAAAATTTAACGATATAAAATGAAACAGTATCATTTGCCCTGGTGGAATGATTGGTATAAACGAGAAATCATCTAAAGCTCTATTTACGTCTCCACCAACACTTACCATTCGCTTTTACAGATTGTTCTTTTTCAAAATAAACTAAAAATCAAAATATTTAAAACACTAGTTTGCCAGAGTTAGCTAAACGAGATACAGATATTTAACAATTCTAATTTTAAAAGAATGAACCGTTTTTTACTTCCTTCATATCACTTTCTAAAAATGACCTCTCTGGTGGAATAATTGGGCAAAACGAGTAATTATCTAAAGCCCTCACTGCTCGCTCCCAATTAGCTCTTAATTTAAAACGTTTCCTCCATACTCAATTGTCAAAGAGGTAATTTTAGACCATTGAAGCTCAAAAATTAAACCAAACGTTTTAGATCTTTAGTTTTTTTCATTATAAAACCGAACTGTTTGATTCAAAACTAAATAAAACATTCTATATCATTTATACATCACACTCCGTGGGTTTACGAGGGAGAAGTCTTAGGAAAATATTTAAAATTATCCGTTATTAATAAAATGTAATAAATATATGAGGTACACGAGCAGAATGGACAGATAGAGAGATAGGGGGTGATGATAATAATAATTATTTTTACATAGGATGAGACAGATTAGGAAAGAATGAAACAGTTGAATTTTAATAGGCTAGATTCACTTTTTTTTTTGTTAGAACCTTGGCAGTTGGTTTCTTAGTCCTTGCATTAAGTGGATGCCTCTGGCGGAGTTCAATCACTTAATCTCTTCTGATGAACGTTCTTCCACTGTAAAAAATATGCCGTTAATTAAATTTAATTAATTCAATCCAAAACTTACCTCATAGTCTTTTTATCTGTGCACTTGTTCTCGGGCCGGGCCCTGTTCAATACTTTGAGGAAATCTGAAGTCTTTGCGCGCATTCTGCTATGAATGTAAGCCTTGGAACACTTGATATGATAGTGCAAATAATGTCTGAACATGTGTATTAAATTGATGGTGTTATCACGTGTAGTCCTAGCTGTGTGACGGGGAAACAACACGAACGTTACATAACCTACAAAAAAAAAATAGACTAAATAAATCCTATCTTTTATAAAGGCCATTTTAATTTTGCTATTATTCAAGACACTGAAAACGATAAAAAAATGATATACACATCAAAAACCTACCGACATTGTTGTCAACTCGAGCATCTGTATTCTGCAGCTCCCTGGGAGGTTCCTTGTGACTAAATAATACTGGAGGAGCGTTTTGCGATGCTCTCAAACCTTCTTTGAGCTCCTGCATAAAAACTTTCCCAATGACAACGTCATCTTCGTCACGAAATCTAGTTGAGAACACTACTGTAACCCTATCGGCTTTGGCTTCCACATACCTACAGAATGAATTAATGAAATTTGTAACAAATTATTGGAAGTTCATGTACTTGGCGCCGACTAAACCGCACGCGCAAAATAATGATGAGTATAATTATTGTAAAAAATCAGTATCTGCTATAGTCTATTTTTATGTATGAGAGCAATAAAACAGCATTTCTAATGCAAAACTTAGTACGGTCATTTTAAATATTTTTACAGAATAATCTAAATATTTCCTAAAATTGTAATAAATGTACCTGAGCTATTACAAGTTTCGGGTCTTTTATTGGTCCTTTATAAACATAAGCTGTACAGAACAATAGAAAAAGGTTTGGACAGGCCAAAAGCCCTGTGTATTAAAGATTACATAGCCGTATCTTAAGATTATTTTCAATAAGTACCTATTTGCCAATTTTATTTTATTTTAATTCCAAGAATTTCTTACAGTAATGGAATTATAAGTAGATAAATACCTTCCCAACAAATTTCACCGAAAATACGATTATAGGTTTTCCATTTAGTAAGGAGGTCCAAGTTGTGTATTCTTGACAGTTTACTAAATGTCGTTTAGTTGCAACTTGCAAGGTGCAGTGTGAATTCTAGTGTGATCATGGAAAATTTGGAAGGGCCGCGTAAACGACAAAAAATCGGTCCTTTAACAGTTAATGAAAAAAACATTAATATTTAATTGTTTTAAATCATTTACAGACAAACATTTATGTAAAAGTGTTGATGACACAATGGAATTAGTTAGTAGTACGCTTGGTGTTGGGAAATCTACGATTTACAGAGTTGTTAAAGAAGAGAAATGTGGCGAGTTTCAAACAGCACGTAAAGCTCCAGGAAAACCAAAATTTAAATTAGAAAATCTTTTGAAAGAAAGATTTCGAAGGAAAGTGCATGCGTTCTTCTTTAAAAAAGAATTTCCGACAGTAGACAAAGTTCTTGCCACGGTTCGAGATGATAAGGATTACCCTGAAATGAGTCGAAGCACACTATGGAAACTTTTAAAAGAAATAGGTTTTCTATGGAAAAAGCATTCCAGAAAGTCTATTATCTAAGGACTATAAAAGAAATGAGAAACCAAAGAAGAAAAATATTTGATTTAGATGAAACATGGATCAACGAGGGACATAAACCAAATAAATTTTGGCAAGATGAAACTGTTACAAGTCGAAGACAGGCTTTTTTAAATAATTTATCTACTGGTTTAAATCCACCATCAGGAAAGGGGCACATACTAATAATAGTACACATCGGTAGTTCAAACGGTTTTGTTAAAGGTGGTTTATTGACTTTTGAATCTACTCGTACCGGTGACTACCATGAGGACATGAATGCTGATGTCTTTAAAGAGTGGTTCGAACAAATTATAGATCTTCTTCCTCAGAACTGTATAATAGTAATGGATAATGCAAGTTATCACTCGAGACTTATAGAAAAAATGCCCACAACCAAGTGGTTAAAAAAAGATTTACAGAATTGGCTAAATTCAAAGAATATTAAGTTTCATCCCAGTTCTGTGAGAAAAGAACTGTATCATTTGTGTTCCCTTCATAAAGAGAAATTCAAAAAATATAAAATTGATGAAATTGCAAAAAATCGTGGGATGACGGTGGTTAGATCACCACCATATCATTGCGAAGTAAACCCGATTGAACTGATATGGGCACAGATATAGGGAGAAGTTTCAAGAAAAAATAATTCTTTTAAAATGAGTGATGTTAAACAGTTGTTTTTGGAGGCTGTAAATAATGTGAAGCCTGAAAACTGGGAAAAGGCAGTAAATCATACGATTAAGAGGATACAGTAAGCTATGACATCATCACGTTTCATTTCGGATCTTCCCTCCTCCTACCACTTCATGATTTAGTTTGTAGGCATCCATATCTTTGGTTTCAGTTTACAGGATATAATGTGGCAACGTATAATTTCTCGCTTAGAGCTTGAAAAAATAAGTTTGTCTTACCGATTTTTAAATTACACACGCCAATATCACAAAAATTACGTATTAATTCAAAAAAAGTGTTCTTAATTTTTTCTAGCTACATCTTTAGTGATAATCGTGCTGTTTGAATCATAATTTTATCGTTAAGATTAAGATAGATAATTAAAAAAAAGTAACTTGATGTCACGAGTTCTTAGGGGTCCTCGACGAGACGACACAAAAGAGACCGATAAGCTCTATAGACCAGAATAGTAAAAGTGAAATTTAAATAATGTATTGGTTAGGCCAGTCGAATGAATGTTACAGCTTTGTGCTTATTGTAATACCTTATTTATATTATTTTGCTCTAAATTATTTTTTATACTAATAAAGTCTCCGTAAAACAAATTAAAAGCTAAAAGCATCGAAACACTACAATAGTAGTTTGTGCAGAATAGTGGATATTATAGACAATCCATTCGAGTTGCACAGTAGATTTTTTCCACGACCCACTAACGAAAATCTACAAATATTAAAAATTATTTTAGGTCATTAAGATAAAATAACTAATTAAAAAATAATTTGACTTTAACTAATTTATAAAGTAAAATAAACAAAATAAAAAAGATTTGATTTCATTTGTCTCCATCCGATATTTGAATGTAGGCCTTACGCATAAAAGGCAAGAGCGGTGACCTCACCACGATCTATGCTTTTAATATTTTTGCTTTAATACTTGTAATTAAATTGACGTCATATAGTTTTATTTAAATTAACAAATTATTTATAATTATAGACGAAATAAAAATGCTATTATTTATCGATTCTACACAAAAATATATCATTTTAATGTATGTTTAATCTCAATAACTAAAAAATATACTGACAATTAGTTTGCCACTTATTTAAAATTTTAAAAATATTAGTAGTCGGTTGACCAAAATATGAACTATGATTGCAGAATTTAATTTTTTGGAGTGTTCTCACTACCTAGAATGGATATGAAATATATTCGTTCAGTTGAACGCAATAGCATACTTTTTCGTTTAGTAGCCTGTGCGTAGATAAGCTAGTATCTGTGGGTGTAGAAAAATGTATTTTTTTCAGTAACAAAGGGTTATTATTTAAGTTGTACTTGGGTAGTTTTATTGACATATTAGGGACACAATTGACAGAAATAAAATTTATTAAAATCGATTTAAAATTTTATTAAAAAGTTTCATTTGCATACATTCTTCTCTTCTTCTTTTAAACAAATTTTTCTTATTTCCTTGCGTATTCTGGAATCTAACATTCAAAATGAAATATTTCCAATTTCAGATACCATCTCACTAATATGCTTTCCTGATAAGTCCGATAATCAACTATATGGTTGTTTCTACCATATTTTCATTGACATTTTTAAATGTGAAATGTCACTTGCTATTCATTGCTTTTTTTCGATTTAAAAACCAAAAGGGCATTTGTTTTCATTTTGTAACTAGTGACACAATCAACTTTTCGTAATTAGTTGCATAATGTTCTACTTCATGCAACTGGTTGCATAAAGTAGATCGATTTGACACTTCCATCCTTTTACTCGAGTTTTTCCTTTTTGTCGTCATATTTTTTTAATTTTTCGATTTTCAATTTTTCGATTTTTCAATTTTTCGATAAAAACACTCAATATTCGTATGTCATCCACACTAGGATCGTCCAGCTCATCCTTCTTTCCGAAGTTACGCAAGCGTCTGTAATAACCGATGTTGCCAATTTACACCGCGAGTATGAGTAGAAGATCGACTGTCGTTGCGCAGCGCTTTTTCCAGGGGTATATGTAATTTTGGGGGGATTCCTTCTCATTTAAAATTGGTTGATAATTTTAAAAAACTTTGTTTAACATTTATTTAGGCATTTGTGCATAGAAAACTGCTACAATGAGACAAAACATATTAGAACAAAAAAAAATCTTTTAAATCCATATTATGCCGAATATTTATATTTTCTCTTTGTAGCAGTCTCAAGTATTAATTTTAACATCTACTAGTGAAATACTATATCCATGCATATATTATTAACGACAAGAAGAGATAATGCGGAAGTTGGACAATATTACTGATGAAATGATCGAGCCACTCATTGTAAATATTGGTTGCGACAGTTCATCTTCTGATTTCGATTCTGATTTGGATTTGTAGGTAAGAAGTAGTTTTTATATTAAAATTATTATTTATGAACGTAACGTTGTTTAAAAGTCAAAGTTTAAACCCTTATACCTACATAACCCGTTTGACACAATGTTCTTAACATACCTTGTGGAAAAATAAAACATTTTAGAAAAAATTGCACTTTTTTACCTTCAGCTGTTTAGAAGTTATAAGCAGGTTAATTAGGTGAAAATATAAGTGTATACTCGAGGAATAACTTCAAAAAATATTTTAACTGTCTACTAAAAGAAGTAGTACGCCTATGGATTACGAACGCTTTATTAATTTAATACTCTCTCATACATAAAAATAGACAGTGTAAAATGTGAAATCTGTGACTTGAAATATCATCCATCGTGTGCACAAAGTGTAAATGCTATCATAAGATGCTGTGAACCAAAAGTTATTGAAAAATCTAAGACTATGGATCAAAAAAAAAAAAAAAAAAAAAGTAAAGGTGATGTATTTTGCATTGATGCTTACAACTTTTTAAAATTACTAGTAGAAGAACAAAAACTAGCAAACCAATTAATGAGTGAAAAAATAGAAATCTTAAAAGTTGAACTTAAAAATGAAAAAACGAAATATTCTGATCTGCAAACACAATATAACGAAATAAATCCTAAATTTATAAGAGTTGACAAAAAAAATCAAAACTTATCTATCAGTGATAATAAAAGACCAGTTTTTATAGAAAAACCAAAACAAACAAAAACTGAAAGTGTGAGTTTACCTGTTGGAAATAAACATTTAATACCAAACAAAAACAAGCGATTATAGGAATGCCCCTGTACAGGATGACTCACTCCTCCAAAGGAAACAAGTTGCATTAGAACTAATGAAAATTCAAACCCTACAAAAAACTAATGAAATAATAAATCTAGCAGATGATACCAATGAAGGAAGTCATGAGAATGATTATATCACAGTAACGAGACGGCAAAGGAGAAAAACAAAACAATTATAGGAAGTGGAGAAAGTGATGATGAATTTAAAGGAAGGGAAAACAAAAAAAATTGGCTCTTTGTATCTAGAGTATCAGACACTGTAAATGAAGAGAATGTTAAGAAATACATTCATAGACGCACAAACGCAGAAGAAATTTATGTGAAGAAACTAGACACATATTTTGTAAGACAGAATAATCAAGCTTTTCTAGTGGGAATAGATCCTCATTTTCAGGAGCAAGTATATAAATCAGATTTTTGGCCGAAAAATATAATGTATTCTCGATTCAACTTTAAACAAGGTCAGCGATTTCTTGAAGATTCACAAAACCAGAGATCGCATAAGAGTGAAGAAAATTTTTCAAACTTAGGTTTGTACTTCAAACCTGATAAAATAGGTACCTCAAGGACTACTATGGAAAACCACTTTTTGAAAGAAAATAATGAATTACTATTTTGCAGTTCCCAACAGTTAAATATTACTTTAACGCATATCAATATACAAGAAGGTTTTGCCAATAAATGCTTTGATCTAAATTTAATTTTACAGAAACAAAATGTAAGTATTCTACGTTGTTACTGAACATTGGCTTGATTCTAACAATTTACAAACTACCTCAATTGACGATTTTAAGCTAGTATCATATTTTTCACGGATAAATAAAGAAAAAGGTGGTGCTAGCATATTTATGAAAACAAGTATTGTTGCAAATTTTGAATCAATTAATTTACATAGGTGATGTATAAAAGGTGAATTTGATGTGGTGGAAAAATAAAGATTGATTCTAAACTTTTTTTATTTATTATTACTGTGTATAAGCCACCTTGCACTAAGTTTAGCACTTTTATAAATCAGCTAGAGCTATTAATTCATAATATTTATCAAAACGACAATCACTATTTTATCTGTGGTGATATTAACGTAGATTTTTTGATTGAAGGTAATCAAAAAACTGTTTTAATTGACTTATTGAAGGAATATAATATTAAACATCATATAAATGTTGCAATAACAACAACAAGTACAACCTCAACTTGTTTAGATAATTGTTTTACCAATTTTGATGTAGATAAGGTGGGTGTATATTATACTTTTTTGTCTGATCATAACTACTTCGATTAAACTACCTAATTTTGAAAATAACGAATTTAATAATATAAACGAGATTTAAGTGATCCTAACGCAATAACTTTTATAAATATTTTATTAGTTGAAAATTGGCGTGAAGTATACACATCTACTAATTTTAATGATAAATTTTTTATCTTTTATGAATCATTCCTATACCACTACAATATTATATTTACGAAAACAAAGAAAGCGATAAAACCACAAAAATTAAAAAATCAGTTTCCACCTCATATTAAAGAGTTACATAATCTATTATGTGAAATGAACAGGTTAAAGAAAGAAATAAATTCTACATATTATACAGAACGTTACAATAATTTAAAAAAAGAGTATCAAAAAATAACAAAACAATATTTGAGGAGAAAAAATAATGATCATATTTTAAAAAGTAATAATGTAATGAAAGAATCCTGGAATATAATAAACGAGAGTAGGGGAAAAAGAAAAAACAACTTATTGAATCCTATTAAACTTACAAATGATGACAAATTAACACCCTTAGAAAAAGTAAATTATATCAATGACTATTTTATTAATGTAAATAAAAATAATATTGTACCTAACTATACTATGGGTAGTAGAAGAACCGATAATTGGAACAATCTCTTGGGGCTAAGACAGGCCAAGATACTTCTGGGTGAATATAACCAAAAAAAATCGGAAGCCTGCATCTGCCTGAGCAAGAACAGGCTACGTATTGTAACAGGGATCCTTACCGGGCACTGCCGACTAAAAGGACACCTAAGTAAACTGAGAGTAGTAGAGGATAGTGAGTGCAGATTCTGTGAGGAGGAGGACGAAACCTCCATTCACATCCTAACTGAATGTGTAGCACTCCAGAATCCAAGGGCACTATATCTAGGAGGATATCAAATAGAAGAGGAAGACTTACCTAACTTGAAGCCACTTCAAATCCTACACTTCCTTGAAAAAATAGGATTGGAAGGGTCGCTATAGGCATTGAGACATTTCCTTAGTGCAGTGGCGACAGAAGGGGGCACAATAGATCTTTTAGGTCGCAGTGTATTAACACCTCATTATCAACATAACATAACATAACTATACTATGAGTATTGATAAACATAATTTTTTTTTTCTTTTTTCAACAACTAATTGTAACAAATAGTCTAAAATCTGATCCTCTTCCATGTAGAATAGGAGTTCCCCAAGGTTCAATTTTGGGCCCACTTCTTTTTATAGTTTTTATAAGTGATATAAGTAATTTTTGTTTAAGCTCTCAACAAATAGTTCAATATGCCGATGAAACCAATATTGTAATGGCAGATGATCAAATTGAACAGGTCACTCAAAGTAGCAACGATGCATCTCATGAGTTTAACCAGTATTGTTAAGATAACCTGGCATTAAATGTAACAAAAACAAACTTCATGCAATTTCTACCCAAAAACATATTACCAGATTAAAACCCTATTTGCACGTTGACGGAAAAACTATTCAAAGCGTTGATGACATAAATTTTTTTAGGAATAATATTAAATCCCAAATTAAATTTGGAAGCTCATATAAAAATGGTAACTTCAAAATTAAGTACTTGTTGTTATATCATCAAAAATTTAAGGGACACTATCTTTTGATACTTTAAAACTATGCTATTTTGGTTTGGTTCATTCAACTCCACAATATGGGTTAATATTTTGGGGTTCTTCACCATACTTTGAAAGAGCTTTTGTATCTCAAAAGAAGGTTCTGAGAGCCATGTATAAGGTGACACCAACATCATGTAAATAACTTTTCAAGAAAATGCAAATTTTAACACTACCTTCCCTTTTTATTTTTCAACTAATTTTATACATAAAAAATAATGAGCACATATTTAAGAAAAATAAAGACCTGCACTCATATGATACTGGATTAAAATTTAACATCCATCAACCTTTTCCACGACTACAAATAAGCCAGCATTCACCAAAATATATTGGGATTAAGTGTTACAATAAGTTCAGTAACATATTAGAAGATACTACAGGTTATCATCAAATTAGTCGTAATGATTTAAGAAAACATCTTAATGATTTTCTTGTAAATAATGTATTTTATAGTATAGAAGATTTTTTGAACTTTTAAACTAATCTTAACATGAATTGTCTATTATATATATTTTATTTTTTAATGTATTTTACTTAACACTTTTTTGACTAGTCTGATAGGATTTTACCTTATGTACCTAGTGTCTTTGTATAGTGTATAATTCTCAAAGATGAATAAATTCTATTTCTATTTCTTAAGATGATTTGATGGATAAAGAGATAGAATATGAAAGTTTTGCAAGTTGCAAGCATTTTGTAGTGAAGTAAAATAATGTTGTTGCCTTATTTCATAAAAACTATATAAATTGCCACATTAGAAGCAGCAGATATAAAACATAAATACAAATTTGGAATAATAATATGTACTATTCAAGTACGTGAACATAACTTAAAATAGAAACAATTAAATTCCATGGAACATTTTTACTAAACAAAATGACTCAAATATTGTTTTTAGAATAACAGGTGAGTAATTGTTTTTTTTTAACAAAATTGCATTCCTATTACAAAATTTTGAAACTAAAATATTCCCATTAAAAATACAGAATAATGTAAAAAAAATTCTTAAGCTAAAATTTGACCATTTTCTTTTTTATAAATATAAAATCTGAACTTATATAAAACCAGTCAAAATAGAACAAAATACCAATGTTATAATCTAATCTACATGCAGTTTTTATTTGAAACTAGGTTATTATCAATTTCAGGTATTTATATAGGCTGATAACGAAAATATTTTGATTACAGCATATTAAGATAATTTATCTCTAAATAAACAGTGAATATTTACAAGTATACATACAGCGTTTCATCATCTCTATAATGGATCACAGCCCGTTTATGCCCATCTTCACCTCTTTCTTGAAAATCAAAATACTTCTCAAACACAGAGGCAAAACAGTTTCTCTTCAACAAACCCAATTTTTTCACAAATATCGGCCAATCTGCAGGTATATTTTCTAAGTCTAACAACACAGAAACATTGTGACCAGTTTCTGGGTCAATCAAATAAGGACCGTATTCCCTCTTTAATAATTCATCAGCACCATGCTCTTGAAGTTGTTTATAGAACTTCAATGATATACTAGTCTAAAATGTTTGGTAAAACATAAATATAAAAAATACAAGGCAATAAGTTTGTTTACAATAGGCTTACCCTAATTTTAGACTTATCTCCATTTAGATTAGATATATGGTACAATACACCATCAAAATCGGCTACAGTTATATCAATACTTTCGTTTTTTAACCTTAAAAAAAACGATTAATCACAAATGGAAATAATCATCTTGACAGAATGTTAAGTTTAATGAGTCATATAAAAGACACAGGAAAAGCAAATAAAATAAACCAAACTTAACACAACCGAATCAAATATATTATCAGTAAAAGATACAGGAAATCACAATCGTTAAATCTCTCTATCTTTCCCATGAATTTATATTACACAGCCCAATGCAAAGAAAATTAAAAAATACAATTATATACATACCCGGCTTGTGCATTTTTTATTTTTACTGTTAAGGTTTCTTCAACTACCCTATTATTGATTTCCAGCAATATCATATTTCTATCAATAAATAACTATAAATTTGTTAAAATGTTTTAACTAGATCACATACATGGGAGGTGCTAAAAGCTGTCTTCTCCGTAAACGGCGATTTGCCACTGTCAACGACGTCAATGTCAAAACGTCATTGTCAAAATTGCCATCGATAAATCGCTATATTACTTACAAAATAGCAGTACCAGTAAAAACGAAGATTTACCCGCATACTTAAATATCCATCATCTCTATTAAAAAGAAGAAAAGCTGCATATTATACAGTGTGTGCCATAAAGTTGGATCTATATGGGATTTTTTTAATATTACGATTTGGAAAAAAAAAACGCCGTAGGTCGTAGGCATAGACATCACATTATCTAAGACAGACTCGCCAAAAATAAACTTTCAAATTAAAAATAGGTCTTTAAAAATTTTTATTATTTTTTCTAAGTCAAACATGTACAAACTACGATCTTGTCTACAAGAATAGTAAATACTTAATGGTCTCAAAAGTGAACAAACTAGATAAAATGATAAAAGTCCTATCAGCGATTTCTTGGAAACTAGTAACTCGGATAATGCCAACATCTGTAGGATCGTGAAGTCATTGTTACTTAGGGATGCGCACAATGTATCGATGTTTAAAAAACATTGATTTTTCGGTTTCAATTATCGATGTTAACATCAATTTTTCAATTAACATCGATGATTTTCTTTTCAATGTTTTTTTGTTAAGCGCCACGTTTCAATTATATACAATGGTATATTAGAAAATGCTTAAAACATTTTTGCTTTCGCTATAGGTCCAGTTTTCTCTTAAGAGAACTTAAAAGCATTTAAATTATTGTAATGTACTCTAAATAATAATTTAATATAAATAAGAGTTTTTTGGTTGAATATCGGTCCTAAACAAGTTTTTATTTAAGCTCTTCATATGTTTAGGACACAATTTTTCATTTTGTGATGCAATATAATAAAAGGCTCATGGATTGTAAGAATTTTATTCGTAAAATCGGATTTTATATTAACAAAAATTGGTCGGTGTATTGAAAATACCTTCTGAAATTAGGCTTTATTGAACAGAATTTTAGTGACAGTAAATAATATGACAACTCTATAACAAAGAATAAATAAACCATACAGGATGTACAAAACTAATATAAAACATGAACACAGTTTTTCATTACATTCTCCCCGGCATTATTTTGAAACGTACTTCTTCTTCTTTTTTTCTTTATTTGGGCTTAACTCTTCTGAATTATTTACCCAGCACCATTTGTAAATGTTATTTGTTTATGGAACAAGCTGCGCTCTCACGCATCTGTCTCTAAGACAACACTTCTTCCAGAGTTCTGAAACAATTCAAATTATAATATTGCATTCCTTCAGGAATTTACACAAAAGCGAAGCACTAAAAGCGGAGGGATTTCTAAGCATATCTTCTACACATAAAGCCATTTCACTTTTCATGCAATTTTTAAGCATTAGTTCGTATAACCTATCACAACTAAGTTGGTTATTGGAGCATTCCAACAGGATATGTCGGATACTACCTATTTTACCACAACTGCAGTTTGGAGAGTCATAGATTCCTATTCGATGTAGGTGTTCTGGTGTAGCACAATGTCCTAACCTTAGTCTATTTACTGTCGTAGCTGTGTTTCTGCTTACTTTGATCTCGTTAAACCAAGACTTGTGGGGTAACTTTCCTACTATACCATGGTAATGCCTTCCTTTAATTTTACATAATTCTGTCCATTCTTCTTCCCATTCTTCTCTATTATTTGCCTTTATTTTAGCTAATATTTCTCTGTAGTCTACCATCCTAAAGTTAATATTACTTTTAGTCAGGCTTTGTTTTGCTAAGCTATCTGCTTCATTGTTCCCTATAATATTTGTGTGACTCGGTATCCATCCCAATTTGATGTTTAAACCATTTGCTTTAGCTTCCATCAATGATTCTCTGACAGTTATTTCTGGATACTCTGACTGCCCGTTTAAACCCATTCGAGCTATTTTTTGTAGCGCACTTTTTGAATCAGATAGTATGAGTGTATTAGCACTGCCCATTTCTGTTGTTTTTTTGATTGCTACTAGTATAGCCAATACTTCTGCTGTACAGATACTAGCCTCGTCCGCTATTCTTACGCTGATTTTTGTTCCTTCATTTTCGCAATAAACCCCAAAACCTGTTCTTTCTGTTTGCTTGTCTTTGGAACCGTCTGTGAAAACTACATGATATTTGTTCCATTTTTCTTTGATTATTTCCTTAAATTCCTTTTGATTGTTTATATTCTTTTTTTGAAGCCCCAAATCGACCCAGGATACCTCTGTGAACCACCCTCTGTACCCAATTGTAAAGCATGGTAGATTATCATATTTTCTAATTTTATTGTGATACACTAATACCCTATCCAGTCCTTCCAATATTGGAAAGTTCGTGGTACTAATGATTTGATGTTGAAGACTATAGATATTTAATAATTTTTCCATGATAATGCTTTTATTCTGAGAAATATGTTTAATAATGAATTTTTCAGCTAACCAAATTCTCCTTCGATGTAATGGTAATTCGCAAGTCTCAGCTAACAAGGAAACTGTTGGAGTACTCCTCATCGCTCCTAGAATAACCCTCAATGCTTTAAATTGAACTTTATCGAGTTTGTATATATTTCTTTTTGCTGTATTAAAAATTAACATTGTACCATAATCCAGATGTGACCTAACTATACCTTTATAAATCATAGTTAAAATTTTTGAATCTGCTCCCCACCAATAATTTGCAACTGATTTCATTACATCAATTCCTTTTTGGGCTTTGGATACTATATTATCAATGTGCGCATTTAACTTCATTTTTTCATCTAGCATAACCCCTAAATACTTAACGGTAGGTACGTATGGTATGATTTCATGATTATATTCAATACTAGGTAGAAATCGGTTATTTTTCCTTTTTTGAAAAATTATCGCCTTAGATTTTTGAGCAGAGATCTCAAGGCCATGTATCCCTAACCAGTTTCTTATGTTATCTAATGTTTCGTTGATACCCCGACATATTTTTTCGAGTTTATGCCCTTCCGCTAGTACCATCATATCATCCGCGAAACTCAATAAATCTACACTTCCCACTGTTTGTTTGTATATGTCATTAGTATATACTGAATATAAAATTGGACTAAGTACTGATCCTTGTGGGATACCTTTACTAGTGTATCCTGATGTGGAACATGACCCTGTTACATTATCCCTGATGATTACTTTCCTATTGGTAAATATTTTCCTAAGAAATTCTATAAAAGGTTGTGGAATATTAATCTTTGCGAGTTTATTCATTAATATTGGGATGCTTACATTATCGTATGCTGCCCTAACATCTAAAAATACTGCTACTACTTTTTTATTCTTTTGAAAGGCCTGGAATATTATAGTTTGCAAATATACTAAATTGTCCATGATTCCCCTACCCTTTCGAAACCCTGACTGCTTCTTACTTAATATTTGTTCTGATTCTAGTTTATGTTCAATCCTATTTTTTATTAAATTCTCTACGATTTTTAGGACACACGACTGTAGTGAAATGAATCTGTAACTATTTAATTGTTGTGGATCTTTAAGTGGTTTTAGGAAAGGACATATTATTTGAGTGTTCCATTCCTTTGGAAGTTCCTTACCAGCTAAAAACTCATTAAACACCTTAATTAAATTGACTTTAATACCGAAAGGTAGTCCCCTTATTAAAGAATATACTATAGCATCCGCACCCGGCATTGTATCCCTTTTTCTTGCATTTAGCACTACATTAAGCTCATTGACTGTGAATTTATCCCATCCCGTTTCTTTTGACATTATGGTGTCCATTTCTATTGGAATTTCCGGCGGGGTGACTATGTTTAAGAAGTTATCTAAATTACTCCTAATGAAATCAGTTTTTCCTTTGATGTTCTTATTTCTTCCAAACCCTTTCACAACTTTCCACACATATGATAAGTTACTGTCTCTGTTGAGTGTAGAGCAAAATTCAATAAAACTTGCCTTTTTTTTTTGTTTAAATATTTTTTTGGTTTGTGCTACTTTATGTTTCATATTAATATAATTACTATTGTTACTGTCCCTCATATATGTTTGAATTGCTTCTTTTCTTTCCCCCAATATTTTCTCACAATCTCTATCCCACCATTTATTAATTGTCCTCTTTTTACTATTATTTTTTTTTGCTACAGGATTGTGCTGTTTTGTCGGAACTACAACGTCATAAGCCTGTTTGATTATACCCATAATATCCTCGTATTCCTTACTTTTAGTTTGAGAATCGATTTGTTGACACACTATAAAATATTCGTTCCAATTGATTTTTTTTGTATTATATTTTTTTCCCTGAATTTCATGATTATTAAAATTGTTGTATACGTTTTTTGTACTGATATTAAATTTCATCATAATAGGAAAGTGGTCACTATCCCCTTTATCTAACGGATGTATTTCCCATTCCCCCAGTAAACCTAACCTAGTGGTACAAAATGATATGTCTGTGACACTTTTATTTTGCCCTGGCAAGCTTATTCTTGTTGCTCTGCCATCATTTAAACAGTTAAATCCCGCGTCTAGTAAAGTATCTACCAACATATTACCGTTACTATCGTTGCGGTTATTACCAAAAATTAGATTTTTTGAATTGAAATCCCCTGCAAAAATTATATGATCAAATTTTACTGTTTCTTCGCTTAAGTCCCTCAAAAATTGTCTTTTTAACTTTGTATTTATAGGATTGTATATGTTAATAACTAGAATATTATTTATTGCAATAGCTTGAATAAGTACACCATATGGTTTATTCCTTAAGTTTAAATCATATGCTTTCGCATTAATATTGTTTTTAACTAAAATTGCTATTCCATTGTGTCCCTCTGTAATATCTTTCCTATATATATTATATTCTTTAATGTTCCAAATCATGGAATTCTTTAAATATGTTTCTTGTAGCAAAATAACGTTTGGTTCCTCCCTGTTAATTAAATATTCAAGGTTTATATTGTTAGATCTTACACTTCTTATATTCCACTGTAAAATAATGAATTTTGACACTTGAGAAAAAAGAAACATATACAAACTTACTTAA